GTCACAAGCAACCGCAACGGCTGAATGAACGACGACGACAACGACGAATGTTTAGTTACATTCAGAACTTTAAAACCTTAAGATTGATTTGGTGTAAAATTACAGCTGCGGCAACTTGAATAATGATCTCTTTTTTCGATGCTAAACTTTGCAGCTATCATTAAATTTTCATGGACTGTAAATCAAAGAATCTAAAGCATTCTGTCTTGCGGTGAAGAAATACAACAACAAAGAAATTTTGTTGTAAAAGATCTTTGTCATCAACACATTCAAATCGCCAACCTGACATGCTTCTTGAAATGTAATGAAATGAAATGTATTCGGACATTATATTTGATTACTGCAAATATAATGTCCGAATATCGCAGAATAAGCTTCAATCTATTGATATCGGGCTACTGTTCTCTAAGTTGCTAGCCTGTGGAATTTTAGATCGTGACAAGAAATGTGTAGCTCTAACAGCCGCATTTTAGACTTTTTCAACTATGTATTGAATGAAGCTTTAAATACGTATGTAGGATGTGACTGTTTCGGATCGCACAAAAATCTATGTTTATAGATAATATGTAGACAAAGGACTTCGTTTTCATCTTAGGACTCCATTGCTAACATTCTCAATAGGCAAGCGGCACTGATTGGTCAACCTTGACAGTCATGTGCTCGCGTTTCTGATTGGCCTATTTCGATCCACAACTGGGTATATATATTTCCTAGCGTAAAGTTTTCGATCTAAGTTCTGACGTTTTAAACTCTGAAGAGTGTCAGATGAAAAGCTTTAGTTTACTAAATGATTGCCTTTTATCAAAGCCATTTTCAAGTTTTGTACCACCAAAAACGGGCAATTTCTAAACCAGTTCTATAATAGCTTAGTCGCTACCTACGTCAGTTTCAGACCAATCCAAATGAGTCAGCTTGAGTGTAACAGGGTCTAGAGGACCGCTTAATGGTGCCTAATGTTGCGATATATGACACTGAACGGTGCCAGCACGCTTTTATTGAACAGGCTACGAAAGAAGCCATGACGCTCAATTTGTGTTTGATTGGAACCATCTTCATTTACTCGTTTGCACAGCCTTTCCAAGACGACCCTTTGATATTAAGAAATGATATTTGAGTAATCATAATCTATGTTTTGATAAAGCTAATATTTAAACAGGTTGCAGTGTTCGCACGATAGTTAACATTATCTTCACTATTACAAAATTCCTAACTACTGAAGTTTAATAGGCAACGCTAGTGTGAAGTTGAAGTGGAAGAAGAAGAATTGTTCTGTAACAGTTGCTTTTGCTTAATTTTGGAATTTATTTATTGCTGTTTCTGATATGCATCTTGCGGACTTCATGATTTTGCATAAGTTTAGATCAAAAAAACTTTCAAAATTTCCAATAAGTTTATTTTGCAAATGTAGAATAGCCACAATATTAAGGTGGATATTAGTATCTCACAATTTATAAAAACTCTTGTTCTTGAAACTAGTCATAAAAAAGTTCTGTTGTTTCTCTAAGCTATTTGAGATAGGTTTTGAAGTTGTTTGTCAGGTATAAATTTTTTTGAATATAAAATCTTGAGTTCACCGTTTTTATGTAAATATTGACCTAGAAGTGGAGTTGAAATTATCAAGAATCGTAGAAAGTTATATCCAAACAAGAAGAAGCGTCAATTTTTATAATAAGTCTAATTAAAAATTTTATTGAAGGTTGCAGCTGCATAAATCGGCAAACGTCTGACTGATTTCCCAGGCTTGCTTCGTTTGCCGTAAAATTTGCTCTGCGTTGGCGAGTCGTTATGTCATGGCAACAAAATCGCCATTTCGGGTGTCCGCTCTAACTAATCATTTTAAGAGATCAAAGAAATTTTTTATCGAAATGTGGATATCTGTGAATGCTTACAATGGTGAAATTTTCAACTATTAGTTTAAAGGTTCAACGTGAAATGAAAAATTTGTACTAATAAAGCGTTGCTTTTCATTATAATTTTTCGTAGTTTTTCGTTTATTTTTATTACTCGCCAAAGTAATTGTCAAATTCAGCTAAATTATGGCAGTCTAAATCACGATCATTGCTTGCTTAGGGGGGCATAAGTTCTAAAATCATCGCCAACATGTGTTCTATTTCCTTATTAAAAAGCACCTAAGAGGGGGTGATTGTGTAGTGACCACTCTCCTAATCGTAATATGTCTTCCGTTTTATCATTGTCATTAACACCTTTCAGTGTCTCCGTGCCCACAGTAACGTTATCAACAACACTTTGTAGCGTCCCCTCGCTTTATGTGCTGTGTATACATGTTTTGTAATTTAGTCAGTAAACTCATCAAGACGCAACAGTCACGTAACATCGTCTCTTGCTGGCTCCGTGTTTTCTACACATTGAACAAGATCATTAAACGACAGCACATTAACAGAAGCAAAATCTAGGAACAAACCAAACACAGGCAATCGTTACTTTAATTGGATGGACAGCTCTATCTTCCCCTTAAATTGATTGTAACTTAACAGAGACAATATTTGATTACTGTGTACATCTACAATCAGGGCCCATGCTACCGGGGGGGGCGGAGGGGCCATGGCCCCCACTTTTTGGTAAGCAAAAGCATTTCCATAGAGGCCCTATTTTGCAGCATTAAATTCAAGTTCGATGTATAGAACCCTTCACCTTGAAGTACGAAAATTCTTGCGACCACACCCTTCAGATTAGCTTGAAATGCATATCAGAAAATTTTTTGCAGTCATATCTTGCAGTCCTTTCTTGCAGTCATTTCTTGAAGTCGTTAGTTTGCTACTTGTAGTAAGTTATTTGCAATACACTCTTTTTTGTACGAGCCAGTAAATTTAAGTTCAGGCTGACTGTTTTTTTCGAAAGTCTGAGGCTGGATTGCTGGCGTTTTAACTCTGGGAAATGTTCAGGCATCAATTGCCAACAAAGTGGGTGAGGCAAACATTATTTGCCGACAAGTTTGAATAATCACAGAGAAAATACCCACAAATAGCTAAAAGTCTTCGCTTTTTAGATAAAACGTTGTTGAAAATTGCATTTTACAGTAGTTCAGCCTCAGCTTGTTCTTAATTTGTTCTTAACTCTTGACCAAGTTATGTTCTTATAAAATTGCTTTTATAAAAGAAAGTGTATTGCAAAAGAGAAAGCTGACTACGAGCATTTGGGTGATGCTGTAAAGGTTAGTGATAAGGTAATGATAATAATGACTAAAAATATATATTCATGATAACAATAACAATAATGGCGATCAAATGAAAATAATAATAATGTTGATGATAGTAATGGTGATAATAACGATTATAATAGTAGGGCAAATATGGTGTGAGTTGTGAGGACGGTGTGATAGATGGTTAGTTGTTTTGTAAAGTTAACGGTCGGTGGTTCTGTTCAGGCCATGTTCATGGGAATGAGGGTGTTCAGCTTTAGCCAGCCCCCAATAAGTTCCAAAATGTACTTAAAACCATACAATAAATCGCCTTGCTTGTTGATTTTAGCATATTCACCCCCCAAACCGTTTTAGCCCCCTTGATCTGTAATATGCTCCGCGATCCTTAGATATGATGCTGCATATAACAAATAACATCTTTTGCGTCAATGTTTGTTAGCTTTAAAATACAGTAAAGCATGTAATTAAATTTTTTAAAGCGTTTTTGACAGGTCTTTCTTATTATGAGAAAGAAAAAGGTTCATGCAGAGGTAGATAACTTCCTATTAGAAAACAAAAATTCATCAGCCATCTGTTTAAAAGATCTGGCCATGCAATAATGACAATAAAAGGTTCCAGCAAAGTAAATTTATATACTTAGAAATGAAAACAGAAGAGGCAAAAAATCATTTTATTTTCTTGGGTAATGCTCTAGTGCCAGCTTTCTTATTCAGCTATCTAAAAGCATTGAAAAACACTCAAGTATGCTTGATAAAGCCTCTAATTGTGAATACGTAAACATCAAGAAAATCTTAGTCTTGTCTATGAATCTCTGAAATATCAGATTAAGGATCATCAAATTTTAGTCCCCTTACGAATCTCTGAAATCTTTGACAACAGATCAACAAATCTTAGACTCATTTATGAATCTAAGAAATCTCAGATTATGGCTCATCACATCTTAGTCTCATTAATGAATCTTAGAAATCTCAGATTATTGATGATCAATGGTTCATCTTAGTCCCATTATGAATCACAGAAATCTGTGTCAATGGATCATCAAATCTTAGTCACCTTACGAATCTCTGAAATCTTCGACAACAGATCAACAAATCTTAGACTCATTTATGAATCTAAGAAATCTCAGATTATGGCTCATCACATCTTAGTCTCATTTATGAATCTTAGAAATCTCAGATAATGGATCATCAATGGTTCATCTTAGTCCCATTATGAATCACAGAGATCTGTGTCAATGGATCACCAAATCTTAGTGCCATCTACAAACCTCAGAGATCTCAAATATTGGCTCACCATATCTTAGTTTCATTTATGAATCCCTGTCTCATATATGGATCCCGGAAATGTCAGACAATGGATCGCTAAATCTCTGCCTCATTCATGGATCTTGAAAAATCTCAGAAAATGAATCGTTCAACCATCAAATGCAAAACGCTAGCTGTATCAAATTTATATTAGCTTGTTTATAACGCAAAGAACGATTCTATGCACGATGCATCTTTGAAAAGGTGATATATCATATACATGCATATTGAGACTTATTCATAAAAAACATGATCAATTGAGCTTCTCTTTCTGTATGACACCTTCAATCTGGAATCATACGGAAAGACAAGAATTTTTAATTAAAAAATGCCTAATAGTGTTATTGGATTAGTGAACAAAGAGGTGGGGAAGACAGACCATTTCATGTTTCATCTCAAACACAATCCCCGAGCAACAGAAGGGCAATAGTCTGTTCCTTTTTTTGCTGAAACAGTTAAGTATCTCGAACCTATAAATACTTATTTTATTATCAAAAGCAAATGAAACGACAAAGTGCGACTTATGGAAGACTTACCTTGAATCTTCTTGATTTGGCGCGCATTTTACTTCAACATTTCAATTGGCCTGGTAACGGGCTTGGTTCCAGCATCGTTTCAGCACAGCATTAGATTACATGCTATAAAACGCCGGTCAGTACTTCAGCCTGTTTTGTTTTCGTCCCTTTGTTTAAACATCTATTAAACATCTGTTTAACATTCGTATGTGTCTTCAGTGTACACCCGTCTTACAGGAGACTTCAAGGGACTTAGCAGTGAAGGTCAAACAACTGAACGTAAGACTCTCTATGACTATAGTCAAAGGGTGAGGAAGTTAAAACTTTCTATTGGGGGTGTTGTATGGTGTTCGATGCCGTATTTGCAGAGCTATTCAATCTCTCCTTTGCAGAGCTATTCAAACTCTGATTTTCAATCTAAATGATACTGTCATACAGCGATATCAATTGATTCGGCGATATCAAAACTCATTTGACTGTAAGAAAACGTTCCTTTTCTTCTTCTATTAATCATCTGCTTGCAGCAGTGCTTTCTTTAAAGTAACTCGTGCTAAATCAGGGTCAAACGTTTAGCATAGCTCTTTATATTTGGGAAGCAGGAAAGATATTTGTTGAGCGAGTTAGTCAGAAATGTTGTGTCATGTGTTTTGGGTCTCGGCTTTTTCTGAGGCTATCCTCGATTCAATTCCTTTGATGATGGCTAATGAGTGCTTAGGTGACATTGGTGTCCATGCAAGTAACTTCTAGATTTGAATTAACCACAACAAAACTTTGGGGTAGGAAATCAAATTTAACAATTAAAATGATATGCGCACAATTAGAACCTATTTTTGAAGATTTCAATGCTATTATGAATGCTCAGATTGTCACAATGTCGACTGCCATTTCCAAAAATGCAGGGAAATGGAGAAAATAGCATACCAAAAGCACCTTTCGTTCAGTGTTCAGATTATAAACGTTGCATAGTAACAAAAGGTTAACAGATTTCCAGGCGTGGATCGAAAGTAGCGAGGGAGAAAGAATTACGCGTCTGATTGGTTGTTATTTGACCAATCAGTGACCGCTTACCCTTGACAAAGTTGAAGAGTCCAAGTGGAAAAAAGCTATTTCTGAAATGATGTTACATGTCGAAAACATTTTGTGGTGCACCCTGAGAGCTACTTGTACTTACTTGGTCCCGTCACTCAACCAGACATTTCCTGAATATACCTACAACAATTATGTCGTTCTTTTAATGTCAAAATATATCAAGGTTAGGGCATTTTGTCTTGTTCGCGAATTTCCATATACCTCTTTGTATGGGATTCTTTCTGGTTTTTTCATTTAAGCAAAGAGTATTCTAACCTGTCTGGATTCTTTCTTTAACAAAAGCCTTTTTTAGTGTTTCGTAAATAATCTCAAAGACTTCTTTCTTCCTAGCAGAAATAAGCACAGAGAAATCAAGATATTAACAAGCTGAATGTTTGTCGCTATGCAACGATAAAATAAGATGACATATTACGACAGTTGCAATTAAATATTTAACCATTCTGTTTTGTAAACAACACTGTGGGTTTATTGTGAGCAAACAGAATACAGAATAACTCAAGGAACCTTTTGGGCGTTAACTTTATGCATAAAAGATACTTACAAGCTCGAGGTCTTTTGTTTCTAACTACAACTTTAATCTAACATGTAATTTACATGCTTCACTTTGATTTGGATGCGTCAGAGCAACGTTCACCTGGTATACAATACAGTAACCTTCACCATATAAGAAACTTGACTAAGTCAGTCTGACTAGGTTCTCATATATTGGGTATTTAAAAGGGAATAAGGCTGTTTACGCTCTTTAATTGGTTCTGGGCTTTCACAGATTTCTTTTGTTCCAATTAAAACATCAAGCATATTATTTACTTGGGCTATAAGTCTTGGGATTCCAGTGGTTTATCAACTCATTTGTGGAAACCCCTACTACATACAAAAGGTGCTGGGATAGTCGAGCAAAAAGGAGTCCACCAATGACTTTAATTGGAGTAAAATAATGAATAGAACAATACTACATTAATATAGATATTTTGAAGCATTTATAATATCAGCTAAAGGTTTAATGTCAATGACTAAGCAACTAGAATTTTACTGTAATTTGGTGTTTTCCACAAATAAAAACCTATTCGGACTCCAGGCTTATCCACTAGTTTCTGTTATGTTATGCGGGTGTTTACTGTATAAGATAATCGCCTTGATTACGCAGAGATTTTCATTATGAATGACTGTGATTCCCTTTTAAATAACAAAATTTGCTTCACTATTGAGAAAGGTAAGAAACACAGGCGAAATTTCATGTAGTGTAGTAAGTGTAATAATGAAACTTGAGGCAACAATGACCGTACCATTTTCATCTATCACAATGAGTGACGAAAAGGCCCCCGGGCGCAAATGCCAGAGCAGAGTAGACTTGTGCACAACCAATTATTGGAAATTCCAAGATTCCAGTATGTGGATATTATCAGCAATGAAGCAATCATCGAATGTAACCATAACGTCAACTGTAATCTTACAGTGTACAGGTATGCCGTACGTATCGCTTTCGGGCTGGGTTACCTTCATATTCCCTACCTCATTTTGAGTGCCTATGCGTTGGCAAATGTCTGGAAAAAGACTAAAAATATTGCAAAACTTTTCCAGGACACCATTTGTATATTGCACTCTCTTTTGAGAGAATAGCGCTGCAGTGGATGCACCAAACGTTGGATGTTGATTGTAGAAGATTTAATCGTTGATTAGTTGATGTTTATTTGAAGGCAATAGAAAAATCGAAATTTCAAAACCAGTCTTCTGATCAGGATCAGTTATTCCGGTTTGTTTAGTATACCTATTTCAACAATTAAGGTATTAAGAGGAGGCGAATTTTCTATAGCATTTTCGAGAATTACCGCCATAAATAATTCTGTCAGGGTTTCTCAGAAAACCAAAGAGATAAATGGTGCGTTTTGATTGGCTACAATTAGAACTCAAGTCCCACAAAGCAAAAATGCACCAAAATTTTTGTGTCAGCTGGCCAGCTTGCAAGACCAACAGCTCGAAACTTCACCTCATGAAATGGAAATCTATTTGTAGTGGCTTGTACGTTTAGTTTTGTGAATAATATTCAGTTACTTTTATCAGTGATACATTTTAAAACAAGATCACGTTCAAGCAAACAGATCGCTTTAACGTCATTTTTGACGAAAATGAACTAACATTAAGATATAATCTGCAATACTTCGGCTCAAATAACATCATTTAAAATCCTTTTCGATTAGACAAAAAACTAAAATATACATAGCTTTTTGTTATAGTTTTTTAATAACATATTCATACAGTGTTTCAAAGATTTATGCCAGTCTTTCCTGAAGTAGTTTAATGTGCAATATCTTGTATTTTGAATTTAGGGATGGTAAAGAAAAAGGTCAACAAAGTTTAGCTAACTTTACAAATCTTAAAGGCATTTGACATGCATAAGTACAGCGAATCCAAAAATAACTCGGTTAGAGCACGCGCGTTTGATAGGAATTTTAAACTACTCACGTGAAACCACTTTAGGATTTCGCCGATTTGCAGAAAGGCGGAGACTGTTCACATGTTTTTCTCTGTGGGCAATTTGATTGGTCAACTACTGGGGGTCAAGTGGCTGTAAGCCACTTTTACCTGCATCGATCGAATGCCTTTAAAGAAGGGTAGAAATACCTGAAAAGTAACAATCAGGAATGCTGATTTCAGGGGAATTTTTTTCATTAGTTTTATCATCAAGATCTTATATTTCACTTTTTGTTACTTCTACAAGAATCGTTGATATCAGGATTAACAATGGGCGTAGTAGCTATGGGGCTCAAAGTTGGGGAGCACGATAAATGGGGCATCGCTGCTTATCATAGAGCATGAAAATGGGCAGTTCTCTTCAAAAGAGGGACAAAGATTTTGTCGTGAGGCAGAGGCAAGTGTCAACAGGCCTTTTAGTTTTTACCACGATAGAGATACATCTCAATCATCAGTTGTTGCCACCCATAATCTATAATTCAAGAAGCTTAACATAAAGAAGTTCTTGATTGTATAAAAGATAAGGCCTCTATCGAAGAGTCTGTAGTTATACATAAATGCAACTCTTGTGAAGAAGAACGGAATCTCTTGAAGCAACAAAGCTATCAACAATCCACCCATTTCAGTTTGAACAACCTCAATCCATTTGCTCCACGAAGACTGGTCATCACTGTCATCAAAATCTTCTTCAGGTGACAAAATTTCTGATGGGTACTGCTTTAGATTTTCATCAAATTCAAGATTATCATGCTTTTGCTCATATCGCTTCCTTTTTAAATTCTTCAATGTATCCGAGAGATCTTTCCAATTCTCTTGAGTGACAGACTTCCTAACTCTCTCAAGGCGAATTGAGACGTGGAGGTCCGACTGCCATTTTTCAAAAGCTTCAGCCTTCATTCTTTTTGCGCCATTTTTCGGCTCATTGCAGTTAACATCATATTGAATTTTTTCATTCAACCCATCACTAGCAATCTTCTAAAAAGTAAGACATAAAGTGGTTTGAAAAAATTCATACATTTGAAGGCACAACAATGCCTGGCAGTAAATATTGCATGGAAGCAACTGGCACGTAAATATTGCACGATCAGTGCCGCTCGTCTATTGAAAATATTGCCAATAGCGTTCAAGGGTCAATTATAAAGCTTATTAAACCAATATACGCAAAATTTTGGAATAAAGTGCAACTAAAAGAGCAACATAGAAGCCATGAGCCTTTCGGGATTCTTTCAATGTCTGTCAATACTCATATAGAATAAAATATTTCAGTTTTTGTCAATATAAAATATCAAATGCATCTTCTACCCACGAAAATGTAGTTTTATAGAATCACCAGACCAAGATAGTTTCGTCTAGTGAGTGTAGCTACCTCCTAATGCAATCACTGCCTCAGGGTTTAACGAAATACATAGCAATCCGGAAGTATTTTCCGCAGCCTGTTACAAAAAGTCTGACGAGACTGTTTAAGAATCTTTTGTCTGTCTTTCTCATTTCACCTTGATTTTTCGTGTGTTAGTTCCAGCTTAATGTTGAAACATATATCTCGCATCCTAATTAGAATTAAATATGGAACATTTTGTCGTAACATGTTGGCTCTTCTTTTCTAACCAAAAAAGACTTCTTTGTCAATAACATAACCCATTTCATTCCAATTGGATACCATCCTACTTACTTCTTTGTCATTCTTTTGGCCTTGAAACTGGTTTTCCTTTTCCCAAACCTCTTCGGATTCTTCATAAATAATATCTTTAACAAGCTTTTCTTTTCCTTTTTTGTTTTGCCCTTTCTCTTTCATCGTGTTTTGCCCTGTAGCACCTGATTCTGGCAAGACAGCTCGTCCTCTCCTGCCAACTCTTTGTCCTGTGCGAAACACATCTTTAGCTAGTTTGTCGACGCTCCTCGACATATCTGATTGTCGCATTTTTACAGCCCTTGGCTCCAAGAAGCTCTGTACTCGGTGTTGTGTGAGATTTCTGGTAAGATAGTTTATCTAGAAAAAAGCGTAACAATTAAAAAACATAAAACATTCAGGAAAGAAAGAGAGCCATAGAACAGACTCTGAAACCAATTCCAGAAGGTGCCCTTCCTTCCTCCAGATGATACCTTTCAACTTTGGAAACCTTCCTCAGAGAAGCAAGGCTGGATATAGGTTTGGCAAGTTTTGTGGAGTTTCCTGGAAGATAGTCTTCAGAAGAACTCAGGAATTTCCGGAAAAATTTCCGGAATGAAAATTACTCAGCGCGCATTAGAAAAGGCATCCCGGAAATACGCGATGACCCTTAAAGGGCCACTCCAGCCCAAAATTTTTATTTCAGAACACGATGTAATCAGACCTCCTGAAAACGAATCTGTTATTATTTTTTTCATATCTCTAACCGTTTTGTAGTTATTAGCGTTTGTAAAATGGTCATTGAGTTGAATTGTTTTTCAACCGTGTTATCGGAGATCTTCGGATTGACGTCACAGGCATTTTCGGTCTCGGTAAGTTCACGGCAAGTACCATCGGCTGTCCAAAGGGTCAACGAGAACCTAGCGAAATGGCAGACAGGGCCTAGCAGCGGCATGTTTGTTAGAAGGCCAGACTTTTATCTGGAATCGATATAAAGAGAGAAGTATCGCTCATCAGTCTTGATATTCTGATCGAATATGGAAGTTTTTTGTCGCACGAATCTTTCTGACAGAGAAGTCGAATTGGCAAAGTAGGCCGGCGAGACAGAGACATGAGGATGTTGACAGACTTTCGTGGAATGTTGCTTTTGAAGCAATTTATATTGGCAGGCCAGTTCCCTGATTTTAAAAAGAAGATTCGCGCTTTTTCATCAGCCCCTCCTTTAGTGCAACAGCTAAAAAACCATCGCGCAATTAATTCGGGAGGAAAGAAGAAAACAAAACCAGTATACCGGGAATGAAAGCTGTATGAATTGATACAACATATTCATTAGGATAAAGAGCTTCATATCAACATGACTTATTGGAAATAAAACAGGACAAATGAGGACATGGACAAGAAGGTATACAACTTTCAAGACAAGACTAAAAACCTACCATTAGTCATGAGTCAAACAACTTTTTCAAAAATTATAAATTTGTTTTTATACAAACAAAAAAGGGATTTGAGATTATATTAATAATTCAACTTTTTCAATATACTTTTGTAAATATAATTTTTGTATTTAACCTTTAAGCTATTACAGGGGCCTTGTCGGCTCCTTTAAGCTGTCAGAATCTCAACCTGCTATATTTATGAATAATAAATACATGTTTGATGTATTTAAATACTTGGCTACATTGAATTATACAATCAGGCCAGTGAACTAGCTAGCAATTTGTAATTTCTACTGCACATGAGAAATGTTCTTATAAAAGTATCATGAAACAATAATCTATTGCAAAACTTCTAGAAAATACCTATATGTTGTTACTAGCTTTAAATAATTTGCAAACATTATATATGACCAAATTATATATAAAATTTTGATAATTTTAAATATAGTCTCCTTTGTAAAAATGTTAATACAAAAACAGAATAATGTGTTGAGGTCTTTGTGGTAACTCTTGAATGGAAGAGAGGGGCAAGTTATCACTCCCACAAAGCCAGTAGCCAGATAACAGGATGCATGTAATCTCCAACCTTCATCTAGCATTTTTTTGCAAGATCCTTTCTGCTGATCCATAAAAGAGTTTGTAACCTTTTTTATGCCTAGAATAATAAGGTTGACAGGGATAAATACTAACATACCAGTGAAATTTACTTTTGAGTCATATTAAAACATAAAATGATCAAAGAAACTTGGACACTCAGGGGCATTCAGAGTATAGATATTTAGAAGGATCAAAGAGAAATTTAGGGGTGAAAGGGCAACCACTGTTACTATAGCAAATAGCATCTAAGGATATTAACTTGAAGTAACACAAAGATGAATTTAAATGATATAGGCCATGCTTATATGAATCAATGCTAGAATAGCAAAGGTAAATTTAACAAATATAAACAATTCTGCCTTTAAAACATTAGAATGAGGATATTACACATCTTTTTTCCAAGACCAAGGGTGTAAATTCCATGTTTTTCCTTTTGGGTAGTAGATCTTTTGCCCTGGATATTGATCTGGCAAAATTTTGAAATTGTGCATCAATTTTATGATGAAATAGGCAGAATTCCAAAATTGAAGGCAGAACAAGGTAGAACATGAAGAAGAAGGGTTCAGGAGACAAACCCTGGGAAATTTTACACATCTATACCTCGGGCAAAGGTGTAGTGCACAGATCATTGGCAGGGATGTAGTGCTAGGAGGCTCAGGCCCCCTTGTTGGTACAAAAAAGTAGCAAACTTCTACTTTTGGTAATATTTTATGTGACATTTTGCTTGAGAGCCCCTGTTGTACTTTTCATATTACCACATTTCTGACCATTTGGGGGACAGTTCACAAGACTGGCTGTTAGAAAACCTGTATTTAGAGGGGTTTGGGGATGGCGTGACACGCACCCCCTAAGCATCGCAATTTGCCGGGCTTTGAGAAAAACTTCGTCCTCTA